ACGAATGCTAAAGAACTTCAATGAGCAGGTCTTTTTACGTGACTTAGCCAAAGAACAAAGGCATAGAATTAGCCTCATTCCTACTGTCAAGGATGCTTGAACACATTTCAAAAACTCCTTTATCTCAATTTTAGATGGACACGCTCCTTTAAAACAGAGTTAAAATTGTTTCAGTCCCTGGATCAACACTGAACTTTCAGAACTGAATGGTCTAAAACATCAATCTTGGCAAAGATCAAAAGCATCCAATATTATCAGGGACTGGCAATCCTTCAGCTCTATAAGGAACAAATGTACCCGGTCAACCTGAAATGCAAAATCTGAATATTATAAGAACCAGTTTCTGAGGAGTAGTTCTGACCCAAACAGTTCTGGCAGACTGTCAAGACTATGGAAAGTACTAACAAGTCCTCACATCTGCCAAATTCAATCAGATCTGAGGGCATCGTTGTCTCTGATAAAAGTAAACTAGTAAATTCCTTCAATAATCACTTTATCAAGTCTGGTCATGCCTTAGCTCCAGCTTCACACGACTCGGTCTCTGATCTCGACTCAGCTATATGCAATGATTCCCTCTCCACACCAGTTCCTGTTTCTCCATTCAGTTGTTTCAGGTAAATAAGGTACTTGACGGCGAGTTACTCAGGTTAGATCCTCATAAATCTGCCAGACTGGATACTCTTGACCCTTTCTTTCTGAAAACAGTAGCATGTGTTATTGCTGCACCTATTACCCATCTATTTAATCTGTCCATACAAACTGGTGCATTTCTGCAGGACTGGAAACTTGCTTCAGTTACTCCGCTTTTTAAAGGGGGAGACCATTCAGACCTAAGCTGTTATAGGCCTATCTCTATCCTGCCTTGTCTCTCTAAAGTCATTGAAAAGTTAACCAACAAACAGCTAACTCACTATCTGGAATCCGGCAGTATTATTACCCCCATGCATTCTGGCTTCAGCACTGGCCATGGATGTGTCTGCAACACCTTTAGTGCTTAATGACATCATATGTGCCATTGACATTAAGGAATATTGTGTAGCTGTGTTTGTTGACTTGGCTAAAGCCTTTGGCTCTGTAGACCATAACATCTTACTCAGTAGACTCAAACATTTAAGACTATCTCAGACATCCATGGCATGGTTCAGAAGTTATATCGTAGGTCGTACGCCAGTGAGAACAGAGGGTTACCAATCTGCTCCTCTACCTCTATCTATGGGCGTTCCTCAAGGGTGGATACTGGGCCCAGCCTTATTCAGAATCTATATTAAGAACATTGTTCATGCTGTTGACAGTTCTCATATACATTTATATGCATGCAGTTCTTCCTTGAACACAGCTTTGTCCTCCCTGCAGCACAACTTTAATTGTCTTCAACATGCCTTCTCCAACCTTTATCTTCATTTGAACACAAGTAAACCAAAGTTCATTATCTTCAACCGTAACTTACTTAGTAACTAGTAACTTACTAGTCAGTTCCTATAAGTATCTGGGTATCTGGCTTGACAGCCAACTTTCATCTGGCATTCACATGAATTCATTACTTTCAAAAGTCAAGTTGTCACAACCTGTCCTGTCTCCCCATTTTGTTCAGTCCTGTATCCAAGTTAATTGCTCCCACCTGCCTCTCGTCTCATCTCCAAGTGGAGCTGGTCTGGCTCCGTCAACTCCTCAGCCTCCAGGAGTTCCAGCTGGACACTCTATCCTCCCTGGTTCTCCCAGAGGTGTTTTCAGTCCAGTCAGCAGCCCGGCCTGCAGCGGCTTCGCTTTGCTCCCACCTGCCTCTCGTCTCCCAATCACTCAAGATCCCAGCTCCTCCTGTATTTAAACCCTCTCAGTCCTGTTTGTCTTGTTAGATCATTGTTTCGATGTCCTAGGTGTTTTCATTAAAACCCTTTAAATGTTCCTGTCTGTTTGCCTGCCTGTCTGCTTCCTCTGCATTTGGATCCTCACCTCCGCTCACCTCACCTGCTCGCTCGTGACAAGTCAAGAATTGGGTTTCTATAGCAACAGGTCATCCTTTACTCATTCTGCAAAGCAAACCTTGGTCAAAATGACAATCCTTCCATCTTAGATTATGGTGACATCATTTATAGGACTGCTTCTAAAACTTTTAACAGTTTTATCTTATTTTGATCTTGTATGTTTTTATCTTACCAGTTTTCTTTGATGTAAAGCTAACTATGTGTCTGTTGCTGCTGCCTCTTGGCCAGAACGTCATAAATGAGAATGAGTTCTCAGTCCATTCATCTGGTTAATAAGGGTTAAAAAAATTCAAATAAAAAAAAAACTGGAAGAAACATTCAGAGGATCCTGGCTCAGTATAAGCAGCCATCCACCTTGACTCACTGGGGATGCAGAAGGCAGAGAAGACACATGCATAAACACACACACACACACACACACACACACACACACACACACACACACACACACACACACACACACACACACACACACACACACACACACACACACACACACACACACCAGGGTTTTTCCTGGCTCAAATTGAGGCAGAGGTGGTACCATCCTGACCCTGCGCCAGCACATACATACTCTGTGCATTCAACTGTCTCACTTTTTTAAAGGCAAAATAGTATAAAAGGCTCAATAATATGTATTAAATTGGTGTTTAGTTTCCTTTTCCCATCTGATAGTTATAGTTAAAAATAATTGTAAAATTTTGACCTACATTTCAGTAACATTTTAGGTTTGTATTAATAACACTCATCTTAGACAAAATAACACAAAGATATCCAGTAAAATATAATGCATTTCATTAACATGCATTTGTATTGAAAATGGTAATAACATTTAATTTCTGCTGCTAACAATGTAAAGGTGGCATGTATATTAAGTACGGGTTGGCAATAATCCAGTTTAAATGATGTTCAAAGATAGAAGCGTTTTGAATTACATACTACAACGGCTCGCCATACTTCCTGTGTCAGGTTCGTTGGCAGATCTGAAGCGTGACTGAGAGGATCTGTTGCCCAGACGCGGAGTGATGGAAATAACCAGCATGGTTATCTCCTGAAGGTTTAGTTTGAAGGTTTAGAGGGCTGGTAAGCCTGGAGACTCGGAACAAAGTCTGGTGAGAACGATGACTGAGCAATGAATGAAACGCCGGCACTTCCTTAAGTAGTGTCGGCGTGATGATGTCAGCCGCCACGTTGGTGCCAGGAATGATTGGAATGAAGTCAGCTGGAGGAGTTCGTGACATCCTGCGCCATCAGTAATGTATCTGTAGCGGTTCTGATCCATAGCGCAGCAGGATGCAGAATTAACAGGATGGTGGGGACTTTTCATCCGCTTGTAGAGTTTACTCTTTCTTAGTTTTACCATCATCATATATTTTTTGTGCGCCACTTGGTCGTGAGACTGCTACACGCTAGTTTTAGCATTAGCCAATCTGCGTGTAGCTGCACTTTGGATCCCAAACTTTGGGCCGGTTGTGCCTTTGTGCCTTTGCTGGTTCCTTTATTTTCCTCCACTGCTGCCAGATTACCACACTGTGTGCCAGTAAAAAGCATTTTTCTTACACGTAACTTACTTTTGTTCAATAAAGTTCTGGGGAAAATAGTAATTCAAAGATGTAGCACCAGTGATACGTTTAAAAATAAACAGGCACACACAGACAGTTTTGTTCGTCGCACTGTACAGCCCTGCTCTGATATATATGGAAGAGCCTGGGGGAAAATCAGGATGTCAGTAGCACAACCCATAGATATGTAACTAGCGAGAAAAGCAATTTTTGATCTTTTTCTGCAGCGGTTTTAGCGCTTTTTGGTGCACCGCTGCTGATACAGCGCCCCTGTAGTGGTGCAACGCTGCAACTGCAGTTAAAATAACATCCATTTAGCTGGGGGCAGAGTGAAATCAGGCTGGGGCGGCACAAAATTAGCTGGAGGCGGCTGCCACGCAAATTTGAACGCAGGAAAAACCCTGCACACACACACAACATACCATTAAGTGTTTCTATGGTTACATTGTGATTTCTTAGTAAATATTCTATTTAGTGAGAGATACACTTTATTGTATTTATCCTAGTGAATCTATAATTAAAGGGTAAACTAGTAGTAGCATATTCAATGTCAAAGAGAGTCAAATGTTATTATCAGGAGAAGGAGAATGTTTAAGTGGTTTTATATATATTTATATATTCATGGTTACATGTAGGACAAGGTGCCTCGTCCATCGCAGCAGAAAGGTTCTGTTGACTCACTTCTGCAATAGGAAGTCTGTTCTTGCATGCAACATTTAATCAGAACCAGCAGAACTGAAGCAGGGTTCTGAAGCCCAGTCCAGGCATCTCTGAGCCCTTTATGTAACCATCTAAAAACTGTGAGTGTTTACTAGGCTTCAGCAACTGGACAAGAGAGAGAGAGAGACTAAGTTTTAATCTGCTCTTATATGAAAACACAAAAGCTGGTCCAGGATCAGGTCCTTTTAGCTGAACAGAATCCAGCTCAGATCTAGCACATGAGGTTCCAACATTTAAACAACAGTAACCATGGTGACATCATCCAGCACTGTCACGTAGTGTGTGGTTACCAGGCAACAGCAACATAAACTTCTGATTAGAGCTGAACCCAGCCTGCAGCTGGTGGATTGTGGAAGCCAGGAGGAGGAGCAGACATGAAACAAGGTAAATCCAGCAGTTTGCTGCCTGAAAACCAAACATCTGGAAAACAAGGGAAACTACCAGACAGGGGCAGCCAAATCAGCTCCCAGTCCGCCAGCAGCCACATTCCTCACAATCCCACTTCCTGAAAAAGCTCAACCGCCCTGAAAACCACCACCCCCAGCATTTATGCCAACTGAAGCTCGTCTGGATATTTGATCCAAGCTCCACCCACCTCCACTTATGGTGAGGAGGTCAGAGGTCAGATTTAACACCTTTGGTGGGGAAAGACCCTGACTGGTCCCAGTCCACTTACATCTAAAACCAGTTATCTTCATAAAGCATCTCAAACAAACAGAGCCAGCCTCCATCTCACCTCCACACTCTCCAGAGATGTGGCCCGCCTCAGCTTGGCCCGACGGACGCTGGGCGGTGAGGGGTCAGCAGTTTCTGTTCTGGACAGAGGAGAATCATCCTGGTCACGGGTCAGAACTCCGTCAGGTTTACCGTCAGGATGAGAGCGGCGACCATAACACTTCGTCCCCTTTATAAACTTTGGTTTCACCTCCTCTGGAATAGCTGTAGAGAGGAGGAGGAGACTTCTGTTACGTCAGCTGGATACTGAATCACAGCAGAACCTCAGAACTAGACACCAAGACAGCAGTTGGACTGTTACACAGGAATCCTGAGTATCAGAACCAGACGCAACAGATCACATGACCCATCTAGTCTCACCTGGCTCCAGGTAGCTGCTGTTGTCCTCTGAGGTGCTGAAATCCAGAGAGCGAGACAGAACGGAGATGAAGCCTTCCTTAAACTCCTCAAAGTTCACCTGAATGACACACACACACACACACACACACACACACACACACACACACACACACACACACACCTGCAGCATTGTAGTGAACATTGTTAATCAGAAACAAAAATGGTTTCAGTCATAAATTCCTTATAAAGACATCTGTATGAACCTGCTAGTGCCTATGTTTTACCCTGCCATATGTCTGTGGTCCCAGAAGTGTGTCAAGCAGCAGAGCCAGATGTGCATCCAGCTGCAGTTTTCTGCAGAGCACCGTCAGCTCGTCCCGGTCCAGAAATCCGGTGGCCGTCGTGTCACAGCTGTCAAACTCAGCTTTTAGTTGTGCAACATAACGACTGTGCTCCTCCTCCTCTTCCATCAGGACGCATCACGCTGCCGGCCTATCACCTGACAGGACACAGGTAGACTTCATTTGACAGGAAGTACAGAGAAGCTGTCAGCCAAGAGTCACTACAGGTTCAAAGTAAAAGGTTCTATGTTAGCGACGTTGTGGCATCCCTCAGGGAGGAGTTCTTAGTCTCTTGTGTTTTCTACCAGATCTCTGATCAGAACTCTGGAAGAAAACCCAAATGGGAGCAGGGTTCTTCCTTTGGAGACCAAACTGACTGTACCCAAACACACAAATCCCACAAACAGCACACAGATGGTCACTGAAATAGAAAAAGTAGCTCTGAGCGCAACAACAGAACCGGCATCCTAAACACAGGTTCTGAGTCTATCGGTGAGGTTTATGACAGAACCAGATGAGATGTACAGTCAGCTGTTCAGTTTAGTGTTGCCACGATTAGTCGACGCATCACAATGACGTCGACAAACAAAATAGTCGACAATAAATTTAGTAGTTGACACGACGTTTATTCTATGAGCATTTTTTCCGTCTCACCTTCTGCTTGAGGCTCATGCGCAGTAGTCACCATCCGGGTCAGTCGCCGCTTTCTCTTAGAGGCTCATGCGCATTACTGGCCATCCAGACCAGCCTTCGAATCAGAGGCCATTTTTCAATACTCAAGGATGCTTGTACGTTCTTGTGTGCTAGACAAGTATGTTCTTGGCAAAAACACCAGAAAGTCTGTTCTACCGAGTATGGGAGGACAGGGACGGCATTTGGAACAGAACTGTGCTCCGTTGAACCATGGCAACAAGCGCTACTTGTTTCTAGCTACGGTTAAACGACCTGATATTAAAATAAAGTCTAGTTTGTTCCTTAAATAACAACGAAAATATATTATTTGAATTATATTTGGTCCACTTTGATCAAAATTGATTCTAAATGGCTGTATCATTAGGGTAATTTAGGTTTACACATTAAAGGAACAACCTCACCAATGGCAGGAGCCTTTTGCAGATGCACACATCTCTGACTAATGGTATGACTATAATATGTTATAAATATAATGATATGTTATAACATGTTTCTGTCTTTTATTTGTGCCTGATATGTTTTGCTGCTGCGAAGCGGAGCGCATCACCCGTTTTGTCCTCCGGGGACTTCACCGTATCGGTGTGGTCTGCGCGTACTCCGCTATATTTGCGGTCCGTAGATCTTTTTGAACTGCAGTTCAAAGGTAACTCATGAGGTGAAAAATGTTAAGCTAGGTAGCAGTTTTTCTTTAGGATTGAGAGGAGATGCAGGAAGATAATAAACAGGGACTGGACAGAAAAATAGTCAAATAAAAACAAGTTAGTTTTTGTACCTGGTGGTTGCAACAAACAATCACCATTGAAGGTAATCAGAAGTGAGGAACAGAAAATTAAATGATTCTTTCAATGTTTAGATCAGCAGGAGCTCTGAGAGACTGCAGGAGCATCGGTGAGTTTGTGGCCACTGCGCAGGGGGAGGGGGGAGTGGGCTGAAGCAGGGGAGCAGTAAAGATGTTAACTTAGAAAATGTGGGCGCAAGTTTTAATTGTCAAATACTCCAGCGAACCAACCGGAAACAAACCTTCATGGAGCCGGAATGTGGATGACTGGTGTTTGAGGACAAACTGGTATTTTGTCAGATCTCTGGGAGTTTGACTAATGAAAACCCAGAAAATGTACCGGTACCCCCTGTACCCTAGAGAAAAGTGTCAGTATGCTGAATGGTTATAAATAGAGGTGGTGGTGGTACTGGTACAAGCCCAAAGCACTGCTCTTTCCCTAAAGGATGAGTTCATCAGCAGCACCGGATCATCACGATCAGCTCCTGACAGTCGCTGTCCCCCACCCTACCCAGCATAATGTGCTGCGCACCAATGAAACTGGTCCACCGTAACCAGTTCTCCCAACATGTTCACATACAGGCTAGACTTCGCAAGCATCTGTGGCCAGAGCTTTCTTCTCTTTCCATCTCTGCTCCGCCTTTCCTGGCCCGTCTAGGTCCATTTTGCCTCTGGGGCCAAAGGTGCGGTAGCAAGCTCTGGGGTGGGGGTGCTACATCGTATCACATACATACATATATATCACTGGTGCTACATCGTCTGCCCTTCCATGGAGACGATGAGTTACTAGGATCACCCCACAATGGAAACTTTATGGGCTGCTTGGTGTTAATTAGTCGCTTTGATCCACTTCTGTCAGAGCATCTAGCCAGATATGGAAACAAGGGCCGGGGAAATACCAGTTACCTGTCCTCTACAGTTTATGATGAGTTTATTCAGCTGATGGCTAAGAAAGTTCTGCGTGCCATTGTAAAAGAAGGTAAAGATGGCAAGTATTTCTCCATCATTGTAGACTCAACACCTGACGTCACACATGTTGATCAGCTTACTTTGATAATTTGATATGTCCTGAAGAAAAGCGGTGAGCCTGTTGAGAGATTTTTGGAGTTCATTCCACTACATGGTCATACTGCAGAACACATGGGGGAAACACTCAAATCTGAGTTAAAAGAACTGGACATTGATTTGATGGACTGTCGTGGGCAGAGCTACAACAATGCTAGTAACATGGCAGGGAAATATTCTGGTCTCCAAGCAAGAATAAAAAATCGTTGTCGTCGTCTTCCTCCGCTTATCCGGGTCTGGGTCGCGGAGGCAGCATCCCATCTAGGGAGCTCCAGACTGTCCTCTCCCCGGCCTTCTCCACCAGCTCCTCCGGCAGGACCCCAAGGCGTTCCCGGACCAGATTGGAGATGTAACCTCTCCAACGTGTCCTGGGTCGACCCGGGGGCCTCCTGCCGGCAGGACATGCCCGAAACACCTCCCCAGGGAGGCGTCCAGGAGGCATCCTGACCAGATGCCCAAACCACCTCAGCTGACTCCTTTCGATCCGGAGGAGCAGCGGTTCTACTCCGAGTCCCTCCCGAATGTCCGAGCTCCTCACCCTATCTCTAAGGCTGAGCCCGGCCACCCTACGGAAGAAACTCATTTCGGCCGCTTGTATCCGCGATCTCGTTCTTTCGGTCATTACCCAAAGCTCATGACCATAGGTGTGGATTGGGACGTAGATCGACCGGTAAATCGAGAGCCTGGCATTCTGGCTCAGCTCCCTCTTCACCACGACAGATTGGCTCAGCGTCCACATCACTGCAGATGCTGAACCAATCCGCCTGTTGATCTCCCGATCCCTCCTACCCTCACTCGTGAACAAGACCCCGAGATACTTAAACTCCTCCACTTGAGGTAGGACCTCTCTCCCGACCCGGAGTTGGCAAGCCACCCTTTTCCGATCAAGAACCATGGTCTCAGATTTGGAGGTGCTGATCCTCCAACACGGAAGAATAAAAAATAAAAATCCTAATGCTGACTTAATACCATGTTCTGCACATTCTCTTAATTTAGTTGGTGCATGTGCAGCAGAATGTTGCAATTAAGCGGTTTCATTTTTTGGCTTCATTCAAAATCTCTACAACTTCTTCTCAGCTTCAACTCATTGGTGGGAGATTTAGTTTTGTCGGTTCATCTCAATGGTAAAAGATGAAGAATCAGTCATGGCCATGTACAAGAAATTCCTAGAGCTAGGCTTGAGGGATGCTTTCCCTAATGTGGACATTTGCCTTCGCATGTATCTGATATTACCGATTGCAAACTATTCAGGAGAAAGATCATTTTCTGTGTTGAAACGAGTAAAAACACATCGGAGAGCAACAGTAACAAGAAAAAAACTGAATGCCTTTGCCCTGTTGGAAATTGAAAATGGATTCACAACTGCACTGGATTTTCAACACATCATCGAGGACTTCACCTCATCAAAACTCAGGAGAAAGCATCTGTAAATGTAAGTTTTTATGAATAAGTAAAGTGAATTTGAAAATCAAATGCAAGATGCATACAGTATACATTAAATGTATAATATAGGGCTATACAGTACTTTCTACTATAATGAAATGAAATATGAGAAACAAACCAAGTATATTCACATCTGAAACAGCTGTCTTATGTCTACATTTTATTATTTCAGCACAAGATTGGGATGATGCCGTCAAGTCGTGTTTCTGCTGTTATTGAGGCCTGTGATGCTGGAAGGCTGAAGATTATCCCGGAGTGGAGCATGCTAAATGGTTTCCTTGTTCATTTTTTCCAATTATTTTTACTAATGTTCAAATAGCATAACAAACAATAAGTTCACACTCAGAAAATTCACACAGAATTTCTGATTCAGCAGAGGCAAAAACAGCCTGAATGAGCATAAAGCAAGATCAAAAGTTAAGATAACATTTCATTTTATTAAAATACTTTCTTTTAAGATTATAGATTGTATTAAATTTATACTGTAATAATTTAAGCTGTGTTTATAGCATGTTTTTGCGCTGTTAAACATGCTTCAGTCCATTCAAATCCCTCTATTTCTTCTTGAATGTCTTTCCTCCATCATGTCATTAATTTGTCAACGTTTATAAATGTTGTAACCTATTGTATTTTGCAGAAAATCTTTCAATTAAAGGTGTTGATTAAATGTAAACAGAGCAAATAAGGATTGGGGGGGGGGGGGGGGGGGGGGGGCAAATGCAGCCTGCCAGGTGTAGTCCATTTATTTAATCCGGGTCCGACTATAAGTCCTAAAAATAAATAAATGTGGAATTGGTGCGAGTTGATAAGAAAAGTGAAACAAAGAAGTGGGTGATAATTTGATGCTTTAAAAACAATCAGACCACCAAGGCCACTAAATATTAGTTGTGTTATTTTTATTATTTACTATACCACTAGAAACAATGAGGGAAATGTCACTTGTGTGTGTGTGTGTGTGTGTGTGTGTGTGTGTGTGTGTGTGTGTGTGTGTGTGTGTGTGTGTGTGTGTGTGTGTGTGTGTGTGTCGCGCGCGCACGGTACGAAGAACGAGTCCAGCATTCCGCTAGCTCGGGTGTTTCTGGAGGAGCTCTCGGCTCTCTTCGGAGTCTCTCGCGGACCAGAGAAGCTTCACCATGGGAACGGAGGCACGAGCCGCAAGAATAAAAGACTTACGGCGATAAAAGACCACAAACTACACAGAAAGTTGTTTTTTTAAGAAACTGTTAAGTTTATCCTCAACTGCTAAATCGCGGTCACCACCGAAGTATTTATTCGGTGACCAGCGGCCGTTAGCGGTAACACCGTTCCTGAAGTTAAACTCTTACCGGAAGAAAAGTGAAACTCCTGTTCTTCCGGTCCACGCCTGTCCGATAAAAGCTCACGGTCCCTCCATGAACGAGTTCCTGCAGCTGCGGGACGTCCGCTAGCGAACCTCCGATATGGAACCGAACTAACGGAGCATTAGACGTCGCGGTGCGAACAAAACTCCAAGACAAGCGGACCTGCAGCTCGCGTACCACACACAGAAGGAATTTCCGGTTTTTTCACAATAAAACACATTGTGTCGGAGCAGACGGATGTCAGTATCATAACAGTCCATGATGTAATCATATCTCAGAAATCCTGCAGGCAGGGGCGCCGTAAAGGGTGGAAAGGTTAGCACGATTCTAAAGGCCCACGGCTGTCAGGGGGCCCAAAAAAGTTTCAAACTTGAATTTAAAAAAAAGTTTAAAAATCATAAGTACTTTACTTTGCGTTATTTTTAGTAGTGTAAGTCAATAAGCAAACTATATTTTTGTCCTTATGAAATGTATATTTATTCAATGTTCTCTACTTTATTTAGACAAATTACTGAAAAAGACTTGCAGCACAACCAGTGTCTTTGTTTCTGACCACACCCAAAGTATGGAAGAGATGAGAGGCTAAATGTCTCCAACATATCCAGAAACGTCCAGCTGTTTTCAGCTAAAACCATCAACATATATACTGGACAATGGGTTCACAGACTCCAATTATAAGTTTTTGAGCCAAAATGGGAGGTGGCCACCACTGCCATTTTGACCGTGTCACAGGTTCCGTCAAACCTAGACAATTCCAAAAAAGGGAAAAGAGGTGGAGCTGGGATCAAATGACTACACCCGTCGAACTGATGCGATGTAGCTACAAGCTAACCCAAAGCTAACGTGGAGGTGGGGGCTAAGCTAACGGAGGTAGCTACCTAGCTACAACCGGAGTTAACTGTGCACAACACTGGAGCTTCTGAGTCAGAGATACGCTGGTCTGACAGCTGGGTAAAACCAGGTGGAACACAGATGTCTCCCGAGAGCTCCACAAGCCGGCAGCCGCGTAGCAGACAGGCGCCGCTGCAATCAGAGATGCGCCGCACTGTCGCTGGGGAGAACCGGGTGGAAAACATTGCTTTCCATCTGACAGCTCCACAAGCCGGCAGCTGTGCAGCAGACAGGCGCCGCAATCAGAGATGCGCCGAGCTGCAGCTGAGGGGAGGGGACCATACAGATAGTCGGAACCGTAAATATGTTGATGGTCGGAACCCAGCTCCACCAACATGTCATGTTTCAACCCGTTTTCAAAAATGCAGCGTCATGTTAAATGCACTGGGTTTTACCCTATTACATTTAAATTTCATGGTTAAACAGTGCATATTAAAATCTAAGCTCAGGTAGTGCAAGAGCGGCAGTGACCTAAAATACATGAAAATAATTTTCCTTACCGAAAATGCAAGATGCACACAGAATTTCTGATTCAGCAGAGGCAAAAACAGCCTGAATGAGCATAAAGCAAGATCAAAAGTTAAGATAACATTTCATTTTATTAAAATACTTTCTTTTAAGATTATAGATTGTATTAAATTTATACTGTAATAATTTAAGCTGTGTGTTTATAGCTTGTTTTGGCGCTGTTAAACATGCTTCAGTCCATTCAAATCCCTCTATTTCTTCTTGAATGTCTTTCCTCCATCATGTAATTAATTTGTCAACGTTTACAAATGTTGTAACCTATTGTATTTTGCAGAAAATCTTTTAATTAAAGGTGATGATTAAATGTAAACTGAGCAAATAAGGATTGGGGGGGGGGGGGGGGGGATGGGGGGGCAAATGCAGCCTGCCAGGTGTAGCCCATTTATTTAATCCGGGTCTGACTATAAGTTCTGAAAATAAGTAAATGTGGGATTGGTGCGAGTTGATAAGAAAAGTGAAACAAAGAAGTGGGTGATAATTTGATGCAGCCAAGGTGTCTTGGCTGCACAATTAGTGCAATTAATACCACAGCAAGTAATTTTGTCCAACCATTGCACAAATAATATCCAAGATGAATGTACAAACACTACAACTACTGGTCTTAATTGAGAGACTGAAAATGATGGAACAGTTGTCAGGCTAAGATTGAGGCCTTTCCCTGCAGTCTGATGCTCATTAATTATTCAGAATTTTAGGCATTTAATCATCGACATATAAATATTGGACAATGGGTTTCCATAGCCTCCAATAACACGTTTTTGAAGAAAAATGGGAGGTGGCCACCAAGGCCGGATTAACCATATGGGCAACTGGGCAATTGCCCAGGGTCCACGAACTCTAAAGGGCCCAGGGCAGCAAGGGCACGAGCAAAATACTGTATCTGTAATTTCCCGCTTTATGAGGACTATGGTGACCGTACGTCCCGTTTTCCCCGGACATGTCCACTTTTCACTCTCTGTCCGGGGCGTCCGGACTGGGGGTTCTTGTATTGATGAAAATGTCCGGCTTTTCATGCAGGAGCAGAGATCGAATTATGGGGGAGCTGTATATCCTACACATCCAGGGAAGCCGGAAAAAAGTTTTCTACCTATATTACATCAGTTATGGACTCGTTTGAGCAGAGAGCAGAGAGCATCACAGCGCGTTGTTGCGTAGCGCTCCAGGCTGCTGCTTCCAGCGCACGGTCCATTCTCAAAGTGGTGCAACCAAAAAACTATAATTAGCACACGATCGTTCATGTCCGTACATGTTCTCTATTTTCTGTCTTATTTGGGCCTGAAGCGCTCTGCTACTGCGGAGCTCATCACCTGTGCTGCGGTGATTTCACCTCACTGACGCAGCATCGAAACGCGCTTTCCGCTTTGCGGTCAGGAGATCCTTTTGATCTGCTCAAAAGTAACTGATGAGGTGAAAAAGTAAGAATCCAGGCAGCAGATTTTATGGAGTTTAGAGGAGATGCAGGAAGATGAGAGACAGACAGGACAGGAAAATAGTTCAATAAAAACAAGAAAACAAAACAAAAAGTAAAATGTAGATTCATCTCCACTACACGTTTTTACCTGTATAAAGCAATAAGTTACACACATGTAATAATTATACATCTGATACAATTCAGATCACCTTCAACACTCAGTCACACACCCAGGGCCGTTTCAAGACATTTTGGGGGCCAAATGCCCCCCCCCCCACCCCCCACCCCCATAACTGGGTTCCCCAAAAGCCTCTGTGTAATCCATACCCTCTCCAGTAGTATTAGTTATACAGTGTTTATAAAAGCCCCTCAGACATTACTGACATGTTCTAATATTATCAGATGAAAAACCAAATTATCAGACATGCTGTCTCATCTGCTTCTTTTCTAAACTTGCTAAAAGTAACAAAACCATTTGAAAGCCACTATTTGTGGATTCTCTGAAAGTTTCCATGGAGTGTGTGACAACTTATTTTTTCATTGATCCTATCGTCTAATCTCACAGCTGAAACAAGCATCCTTAATAATCTGTGCACAGGAAGCGTACCGATGCTGTAGTAAAACAAAAGGTATAATAATTTATTATTAGTAAAACCTTGTTGCAGCATTAAAGCAGAAAAATGAGATTTTGCAGTAAATATGCTAAATATTTACATATGAATTGTTTTAGAGCCCTTTTATTGGCAGAATCTGATATTAATTTAGTTCTTACAAAAAATGGGTCCCAATGTGCAAAATAGAAAAAATGCTGGAAGTGCTGCAGTGGTGTGAGAAATCTTATCTGGTGCTCTCACTGGTGCTCTTCAGCCAAGGGATCCACATAAATGTTGGCAAAAGGAGATCTGAGGCACTCAGGAGATGCAAAAATAAAAAGCCTTTATTAGTACATGGCTTAAATTGTTAAAAACATCAATGCCAACGCGTTTCAGCCCACAGGGCCTTCGTCAGGGCTCAAAATGTTTGTATGCTCACTCACCCCCATGTTAAAAAGGCCAATCAATGACACCTGCCGAAGCTGGGCAGGTAGACTGCATTCTGATTGGATGACCAGTACAACACAAAAACTTTTTACATCTAAACAATCCTATTGTAAGGATGAATACTTACAAATATGAAATTTCACTTATAGAATTTGAGAAAAAATTATAAATATGGTACACAAATTGTAAGAAAACATGAGATTATAAATAAGGAGCTAAATCTAATTCTCCATCAAGACCTGGAAAATTAGTTGCTTTTAGTGTGTAAATCCAAAATGATTCTCTTTGCAAGAGTTTTTTAAGTCTATCTCCTCCTCTAATTGAATTTTTTATATGTTCAAACCCTGTGATTTTAAGAGAGTTACAGCTTCCATGATTTGTGTCTTTATAATGCACTGCCATAGGGTATAGAGGATTACCAGATCTGATTGCTTGTTTGTGCTCTGCAAGTCTTGCTTTTAACTTACGTTTAGTATAGAAGCAACCACAAGGGCATTCTAGTCTGTAGACCACAAATGAAGTATTGCAATTGATAAATGTATTAATGAAAAAAGTACGTCCTGTGAAAACATCAGCAAAACAGTTAGTGTTAGTCATGTTGTCACAGTGAACACAATTTCCACATTTATAGTTGCCTTTTCGAGTTGATAACCAGGTTTTTTGTTGCTGTGGGGGAAGGTGACTTTGAACAAGTTGATCATTTAACGTTGGGGCTCGTCTGAAGCTGATAGTAGGAGTATCTGGGAGAGCTTCCCTAAGAACACTGTCACTTTTCAGTATGTCCCAGTTTTTTGTAATTATTTTTTTGATCTTGTTGGCTTGATCACTGAATTGGGTCACAAAATAAACACCATCTGATCTTTGTAGGTTCTTCTCTTTAGGTACCAATAGCTGTTCTCTTGGCAGGCTTTTAGTCTTATTATACGCTTTGAGTATAGTTCTTTGCTGGTATCCTCTTGTTGTAAAGCTCTGGCCCATAACTGTAGCATTTCTTTCAAATTCTTCTTCTGTGTCACAAATACGTCTTTGAAACTGACCAGTAGGAATGTTGTTTATTAACCATGATGGATGGAAACTGTCTGCTCTGAGGATTGTATTACGGTCAGTAGGTTTTCTAAAAATAGAAGTGTGTAAATCTCCATTATCAGATTTTGAGATTTTTATGTCTAGGAAATTAATTTCTGATGAGGAGAAGTCTAGGCTGAGTTTCAAACTTTTGTTAGTTTTGTTAAGATATGAATGGAATTGAAGTAGTTCTGATTCTGAACCAGACCACAGCAGAATAATGTCGTCAATGTATCTTCCCCACCACATCATCTTATCAGCATAGACATTACCATCAGTGTATACATATGTTTCTTCCCAAAGTCCCATAAAAAGATTCGAGTAATTGGGTGCAAAGCATGCTCCCATTACTGTACCTTTTTTCTGTCCAAAAAATTGGTTTGGAAACAGAAACACATTGTTACATAAAGTCCACTTCGCCAGCTGAAGGATGAAAGAAGAAGGAGGCATATCTTCTGAATGTCTTTGGTCCAGATAATAGGTTAGTGCTTCTAGTTCTTCTGTGTGGTCAATGTTAGTGTATAGTGCCTCCACATCCATAGTAACAAGAAGTCCAGGTCCTATGTTCCTTATATCATTCAGTTTGTTCAGTACTTGAGTAGTGTCTTGAACAAAAGAAGGCAGTTCTGAAACCCATGGTTTAATGGAAAAATCTACAAACTGTGAGGCTGGTTCTGTGATTGATTCATTGCCACTAATTATTGGTCTGCCTGGTGGTTTCTCCAAGTTCTTATGGATTTTAGGGAGCATGTAGAAGGAAGGAATTCTTGGGTGCTCATTCAGTAGAAAGTCATGTTCTTTTTGTGAGATCCATTGTTCATTTTTAGCGTGTAAAAGCATCTCCTTAAGTTCAGTCTTTATTTGCTCTGTTGGATTCATTTGAATGTGTTCATAGTATTCACTGTTATCCAACTGTCTCTGCAGTAACGTGCTGCTGACGTCAGCAGCACGTTACTGCAGCAGCACGTCATAGCTGCTGATAGGAACCGCTGTGGTCAACAGAACCTTTTCCACTGGAGCCGTCGGCAGCGCGAGTCGGCCGCGTCTCAGGAGCAGCATGTCGCGGCCTTTACGCGCCGGTTCTATTTTCTACGCGTGACGCCTCTGAAACGGGTCAAGTTCGACATTTTTGGGGAAGGAAAGACAGGAAATTGGACGCGGAAACAGAGCGAAGCTACCGAGATTTTCGGAATAAAGAACGTACTGCCTTCCGGTTGCTTTACTTTTAAAAAAGTTACTAACTGTGCGTCCCCGTGAGAAGTTATCACCTAGCTAGCGGTCTCCTTTGTTTTTCAGGTCCGTATTGGCGATTATAAAACGGACAGAACATAAAACACAAACCATGTTGTAGTTTTCTCCTGCTTGTTGTTGTGTTTACTGACGAAGTCACTCGTGTGAATTCGTGCTCTGTCGGTGACAGCTGCTCCCCTGCTGCTTCGCGTCTCGTGGGAAGGGCCAAGCAGCAGTTTACGCGAGCAAGACGTGCTGCTGCAGTAACGTGCTGCTGACGGCTCCCGTGGAAACCCGGGGTAATTCTTTAGGCTGTTGACTTTAAATATTTTTTTTACTTAAAAAAATTAATAACTAAGGAATAACTGTGGAGTTGTTTTTTCCAATGTGTGGTGGGTGGGTGGACTTGGGTTTGGGTGAGAGGCGTACAGGCACGGGGGGTGGGGGTGGGGCTGCTGCAAATGGGCACTCGCCTCATTCATTTACAAGCACAGAGAGTCACATCAGATGGATGGAAGAGCCCAACAGAGTGAAAAGTGGACATGTCTAGTGAAGAGTTCGTTTCATCACATTAGTGTCATGGCTGCACACATCCTCACAGCCCCGCCCCTTTACCCAGGTGTGTCTGATCAGAACTCCCACTGGGCTCCAGTTCAACTGTCAGAAACCTACAGGTGACCTTACTGTGCTGTTCCAGCTGGAAACTGGATTTAGAATAGAAGCATGATCAGCATTAACCTCATCCAGCTCCTGAATATTTATCATATTCAGTAAAAATCAACACTGGATTATTTAGTATAAGCTCTCATGTTTAATTGATGTAACATTGTTTTCCAAGTAAGACTGCATAAGAGGTTTGTTCTGAAGTAGAAAAAACAAAAACCAGGTTCTTTTCTTGTCTTTATTATAGAACATCAGCTTTGTACGTTTGTTTCAGGCTGGTTTAAACGGCGCTGATGCGTAGAGTTCCACCACTAGAGGGCGCTGTGGGTCCGCTCAGACACAATCGTATCAAACATGTTTTACTACAATGGTGGTGAAGACGAATCCGTTTGACTAAAGATCTACGTCATTTTGATTTTAGGGTAAAAATTATCTACTTTCCCAGAAGTTTAAAAAAACATTTTCTCCACAAGAAAAGTTCTGTTTTACTTTGATGTTTCTGTGTCTCATGGTGGGGTTCTATGTTCCTGTAGTCTTCACTGAACACACGCACGCACACACACACGCACGCACGCACACACACACACACACACACACACACCTGATGATTTTATCTGATCACATCTCACAAGAGCAGAAACAAACATTCATATCAAACATGTTGACAGACGTTCTTGAAGAACATCGGTGGGACTAAAGGTCCTGTTCCCCAAACAGAACCGGAAGCTGGACCCTGACACCTAACAAATACATATTTATAGATGGGGTCAAAGGTCATACGGTGGAGTTCATATGATATTGGTCACAGAGCACAAAACCAATTCCTCCAGACCTTATCCAGACCCTGTCTTCTGATCTGGACACACCAAGATCTTGTGCAGAACTTCAGAATAATCTGCAGAAGCCGTGACTCAGGGTCTCTTCAGGGTCTCCATGTAATGAAACGTGGCTCCTAGAGCCCAGCTGGTCTCCACCTGGTTGATGGTCCTCGCCAGCTGTGACAGACAGATCAGGATCAGAACAGAGTCATCAAGCCAGTGATGGATCAGAACCTGGTCCAGACTCACCTTGAGCTGTTTGTGTGGGGGGAGGCCAAGCTCCTGGAGCAGAACTGAGATGTAGACTAGGTCCAGGCAGAGGAAGGGGCTCTGCAGGGGGCCCCGGATCACACGGCTGCACACTGCAGGAAACAAGAACCAGCAAACATGGGCCTCCATGATCAGGTGCACAGGTGCAGGTCTGACGTGGAGCAGGTTCTGACTCACCTGTTTGAGCAGCCTGAACATAGTCGGACACTCTGATGGTTCCTCCTCTCTTCTCATCTGGACACAGAAACAGATGAGTTGGTTCCTTCAGAACATCGCCTCAGAGCAACCCCACTAGCGTTCTGAGAGCCAGCTGTGTGCAGCAGCACCACTGTGACCTTACCGATGACCCCGAGGTCGACAGCGCGGTCGTAGTAGTAGGAGAAAGCATAAAAGTCCACGTCAGCTGCCTCAGACGCCTTCATCACCTTCCTGAACAAAACCTTCTCCACTATGGACCGGCACGCTTCGTAGGCCGGTCCACCTGACACACAAACACAAGGTTCCTCAGGCTCCAGCTGCATGATGGGTAATCTGTGGGCCATCCAGCCAATCAGGTCCCTGTACCTGCCTCCTGTCCTTTCACCGTGTAGATGATGTCAGCGTGCTCCCAAGTTCCGGAAAACTCTGCTGGGAGACATGTGCTGAGCAGCTCTGTGCTGCTGCCTACTGAAAACACACACACACGCACCCACACACACACACACACACACACACACACACACACACACACACACACACACACACACACACACACACACACACACACACACACACACACACACACACACACACACACACACACACACACACACACACACACACACACAGAAACACTCAGGAAGAGCCCTCCAGCAGTTAAATCTCAGCAACAGCTGGCAGCAGCCGCATTAATCTGCTGAGTTATTAAAAGATTAGATAATGACTTATTTATCTGAATCCCGGAGGGATGAAAGTCCAGCTGAGGAGCCAGAACCACAAGTTGGGTCAGGTACGTACCGGGGACAGCCGGAGAGCTGGGACCTCCTAGGATGGCGAGTCGAGCAGACATGAGACCGAGACCCAGGTAGCTGCAGGAGGGTCGGTGGGTCATTGATGCCCATGGTGATCAGCACAGAACACACACCAATTAGTCTGAATGCTTCTCAGTCACAACAGGACTGTGTGTGTGTGTATACCTGTGAGTGTAGACGGTGTGTGTGTTACTGAACATCTGGAAGGACCGGATGGAGTCCACAGGTGAGTCCTGGATGGTTTTCTGTTCCAGAACAAGCAGAACATAAGGTGATGGCATGAGGGGGGTTCTGGTTCTGGTACCAGGTCTGCCCTCCTCAGTCCCTCTTCTCTCTACCAGCTTGCCTGGGTTTAGGCCACGCCCCTTTGGTGTTTTTGGACTCAGTCGCCACCCATTTCTGATCCATGCATGCAGACAGCTCCTCCTTACCTCATCTCGTGGACTGAAGGTGATCTGTGTCGACCCCCCTCCCAAATCCAGCATGCCCACCGTGGTGGAGCCGTGGCTATGGAGACCGCCTGGAATGAGAGGGAACATGAAGCGCTGCAGTAAGTGACTGGTTCTGATCCAGGACCACCTGGTGTGGAACCAGAACCATGGTTCTGACCAATTTCCAGCTGTCTGATCTGGGGTTCTGGTTCTTCTTACCTGTGAGGAAGTTGATGGTGATCCAAGCAGAAATACCTGGGGGGAAAGAGAGGAACCTTTTCAGAACCAGAACCTGAGCAGTCTGTCTGTGGTTCTGTTTAGTAATCTGCTGTAAGTTCAGTTTGACCCGCTTGGGTTCTGTCGGTTCTGTTTGACCAATACAAACACGAAGCCCGTCTGAATTTAATCCAATCCTTTTAAAGTAGTTCATACAAGCAATTACGTCCCAGTGGGATAATGTTCCTTTTAATCTTTTGGGGGGGGGGGGGGGGGTCCTGATTATCCGACCCGTTTCCTCCTCTGTGGGTCGAATCGGCTCATTAGAAATGCCTCTAATGATCTCTGCTGGGGCCATTAATGGCCCCAACCATTCCTGGTCAGTCTTCGCCTCTGTGCTTATCCCTGGCTCCCATTACCCTCTGCCCGCCTGGATGGAGAGACTTATTGTGTCTGTTTACCTCCAGCTCTAAAAGCCAGAGGATCTGCACTCACAGGTTTTGTCTTCTTAGAGGCTTCTATGATACAGTTTCTCTCAAGCTCTTAATCATCCACTTCTGCGTGCCTACGGGGTCAAAGGTCACAGCTAAAAGGCTCTAATGCATGCAGCTGAAAGCAGACACTAATGTCGTCTTTGAGGTGACCTGAAAAAGGAAATCCTGCGTTTGTCTCATGCAGCTGCAAACAGCTGCTTCCTTCCTTCAGGAAGAAGAATCTCTTAATTCTTTAAAAACAAACATTCTTCATCAAAGGGACACAACCATAAACAAGCTGTGATATCCTCCATCTTCAAGTATCATCTCATGTGAGGTGACCTCATGAGTGTGTGTCTCCATCCTGACCACTAGATGGCAGTAAGTGTTACAGACTGAACCTGTAACCTGAAGAATGTCTGAAGGCCTGAATGTTCTCAGAGAGCAGAGCTACTGGGTCTGTTTCGCTGGAGCTCACCTGAACAACCATCACAACCACCAGGCCAGGGGCCTCCTTTGTAAAACTCTACTCACATACAGTTAAAAATCACACCTGTCCTAGAAATGTCCCATCTCCGACACACCCACCACCACAAATGGACAACGCAAACCACGTTATGAATATTGTGCACATAAATAACCCTGCTTATCAGCTGTATGTCACAGGTAACTAGAGCTGAAACAACTAATCGATTTAATCGATTATAATCGATTATTAAAATAGTTAACAACTTTTTTAGTCATCGATTAGTTGTTTAATAATCATATTTTACCGCATAAAGTCTATTTTTTACCCCAATCTGACATCGCTTACAATCTGTTAAATTTGCCGCCAGTGTGTGGCAGTAATGAGCCACTGATCTACCAGTGGAGCCGTAGGAGAAGAAATGAGCCAATAAGTGCCCTCGGTTTTCATGACGTATCACGTTACTGACGCTCATCTTGCTGTGAGAGATGGCGGATCAACAAGAAATACGGAAGAAAAATAGAAGCGACAAAACAAGAGAAACCCCGGACAAAATCCTCACGAGTATGGGAGCACTTCACTAGATGCCTTGAAAAGACCGGTGACCTGCAAAATATGCAAAAACCATGGCACGACGGAAGCACGACGTCCCTAAGTGAACATTTGAGACGAAAACGTGGGGGCTGATGCAGCAGAGGAATGTCCGGTAAGTAACAGAAAATAAACAAGCTAACGCAGATCACATTTGGGACTTAGTGTTAGCTGAGTTCGTTATAGTGGATGTTAAACATGTTTTTTTGCCGCGTCAGTTTACGGTGTTCTACTTCTGATTGACTAGATGCAATCGTGAATCTCCTCCGTGTTGTGAATCATGCGCTTGCCAAATTTAGCACGTCTGTTTATAAGAATGTTCTCGTTAAGAGAAAAACGGCACAAACACATAACTATGTTCCTCATTCAATAAAGGACAACTCCGCGGAGAAAAATATACAGACGAGCTGTGTCCAGGTGAATATAACGCGGCATAGTTGTACGCTTTCAATTTTTAAATACAGGAGAAATTCAGAAAGTCCTTTTTTTAACTATTAAAAGGCTGTTTTACTATCTAACGCTGTAAAACGCCTCACAACACATTTTTGTCAAAATAAATGATCACTGTATATTGTTAATTAATTCAAATAATGTGATATTGATTTAGTGTTGTAGTGTGTGTGCTGCTTTATTTTATATGTGTACTTAATTCAGTTTATTTGTGTTTCTTATGCAGAAAAAAACAAGCAACGATGGACAACTACATGGGGAACAAGACACTCACCCCCAGCAATGCATACCACTTACAAACTCTATTCCAGATTCTACATTATGTTTTATGGAATTTATCTCTTATATTTTGATGCCAAAAAATTATTCTGGACTGATATTTTGCACTGTTTAGCTCATTTTACACCGCTGACTGTGTTCATGTGCAATAAAATAGATTGCAGTCAACTGCACAATTCTCTTATGTTTTTCTTTTTCTTAACTGAAATGTATTCATCACTTGTATAGGTTAAATAGCTAAACAATAACAAACCGATTAATCGATTAATCGAAAAAATAATCGACAGATTAATCGATTATGAAAATAATCGTTAGTTGCAGCCCTACAGGTAACCATGACAACCAAGACAGAAATCCAGGGTCTGGGGCATGACGTAGGCACGGAAAAAATGTTTTTTTTTTTTTTGCCTTCGAGTGTCACTGCGCTGCTGCAGCGGTAGGCCGTGGGGCCATTCGTGGTCATCCTTGATGCTAACTATGGAGCGCAGGAATCGCCGACATGCTCCAGATCTAAGGGGAGAGTTCTATGGCCAAAAGTTCAAAAACTGTTTAATGTCTCAATCTTGTTAGTTTTTCTCCAGTCAGAGATGTAGTCACCGTGAATAGTCTGTGAGCCTGCATGGTTGACGTGTCTCTGGTGAGCTAACGCTGGCATTTGTAACTAGACACCAGCTGCCAAAAAGCTCCAGAGTTGTCCAAAGAAGTAAAGCCAGAACAGTGGATGGCACATGCAGAATTTCTTATTCTTTCAGACAGATCCTCTGTACGTAACACCAGTGGGAACGTGTTGCTCACCCCCCCGCCTTTTTAACACGAATAAGCTCCAGGCTGATGGGGAGATTCCACCTGCTGGAGTCACAAAGCTGCTCCCAACTTGCTCGGCCTCCCGCACACATCCGCCCCTCCAACACCAACGACACTGGCCAGGCTCTGCGTGAATACTGTAGAAATTCAGTGTAGCTACACTTATCCATCTATGAAAAGATAAAGCAATTTGTTTTTTAAGCAATTTTGACATGAATCATGTAACAGAATGAAATGACTGTTTTCCACCAAAAGTCATTTTCCCCCTCTCCTCTGACACAGAACTAGTCTGCATGAGATATTGCCTCAAGGTCATGCATTTGCTATAAACTGCTTTCTTTCCAGCTCAAGAGAAGATTGAAGAAAGGACTCTCTCCTTTTAATAAATCAAAGAACTCTTTTTTAATAAAGCTAATCAAACTAAGTGTTAGTCAATAACAAGATGTGACCAATCTGTGAAATCAAAATATTAATGACGTTATTATAATTCTATAGAGTATAATAAGTAATATGACTTTAAATGTTCCCACTAGGACTGATCACACGTAGCGTTAAAAGACATGACACATTGCTTTACTGATCCAATCAGAATCTGCCAGACCTGACGGAGGCGTGGTTTTGGTGGTGCTTGGTAAATCTGTCATCTTTTCATTCGACCATAAACCAAAACATCCGAAGTATAAAACTATGCCCACGTCATCTTTAACGCCAGTTCAAAGCGTTCTAGAGAAGTGTCGGAGTGGCTAATCCGTAACTTTCCTCTTCAGCCAAAAGAACCAATGACAAGCTGGATAAAATCTGTTGCTGTTCCAACAGCTGCAACGGTTCCTTTCAGAATAAAAGCTGAACCATCACAATCCAGGTTTGGCTAGATGCCAACAAAACTGTTGTGACCTGGGAGTATCTCAAGACTGGTGGTCGGCTGCCGCGGCTGTTTCTACAAGCTTCGGCTCCATTAGGTCAAGCTGGACTTTTACACCTCCTGAGCTAGACGGGGACTACCGTAAGGGTACGTAGACTGACAAATGGCGTCAAATGTGTTTATGAATGTCCTAACTAAAGCTTACAGCGAAGACATCACCTCCTGGAAATTTCAGGTGAGCGTTTCGATCATAGTTTGGACCATCACGTCGACAGGCAGGGTTAAACGAACTGTCATGGATGATTTTTTAAGTTGCGCAACTATTCAGTATTTCAGCGCAGCAATAAAGAGTCTAAAGAGCTAAAGACTAAAACAAAAGGCATACCACAGTTTCCACATGTGAATCCAGAGTGTAGTCGCTAAGTCCAGAGGCCTGACCTACTGCCTTGGCTATAAATAGCATCCTGCGGGTTGTAACAACTCCATGTATTTCTCCCAACCAAAAACATGATGTGCTCCGGCTGTTTCTGTCCTTAACTATTAACTATATTGGGCTTTAATTCCTTCAGTTTGGCCCGATACTGCGCCAACGTCCACTTTGATCCCTCTGATCCTTCAGCTGCCATCCATGAGAAAAAAAAACTACCGATCTGTCTAGCTCCTCCTATGGACTCTCACGTTGACAATGAGAAATGTATGGAACCCTGAAGGTGACCAAAACTTGTTGGCATTTTTATACATTTATGTACAGCTAACGAAAATACAAACAACAATGGAACTCTGTTTGTTTTGCTTGTTGCAAGCAGAGACGCTCCACCCTAACCATACCATTCGAGAAATTTCTGGATCTACAACAGAAGGGAGCCAAAAAAATTCCTGTGATTCAAATCAAATCAAATCAAATCAACTTTATTTATAATGCGCTTTCACATGGCCAAAATGGACAAACAAAGCCCTGTACACCAATAAAAAGCACCACAATAGGACATACATACAACCATTTAAAATACAATGAGCAATCCATTAGAAATACAATAAGAAATCCATGTAAAATACTATAAGAAATCTGTTTAAAATACAATAAGAAACCCATTTAAAATACAATACGAAATCCTGAGTGCAAGTTCGCAATCCATATCCGGCCTACTTCCCCCAACTTCAATGTCCAAACGCCAGCGAGAACAGATGTGTTTTTAGTCTGCTTTTAAAGGTTTCCAATTATTTGGCCTGCTTTACATCAGCTGGCAGCTCATTCCAGTGACTTGGTCCAAGTACTGAAAAGGCACGACTCCCACGAGACTTCAGGCTGTACCTAGGCCCAGTTAGTAGTCTCTGGTCAGCTGACCTAAGGGAACGCACCAGGACATGTTGGTGGATGATTTCAGCAAGATATTTAGGTGCCCCTGAGTTTAACAAACAGGATGACCTTAAACCTAATGTGATAAAAGACAGGGAGCCAATGCAAGGCACGTAGGACTGGTGTAATATGTTCAGACCGCCTGGTAGATGTTAACAACCGAGCAGCCGAGTTCTGAACCACCTGGAGGCGTGCTATTGGAGCTCGCCTAAGCCCCACATATAGCGAGTTGCAATAATCCAGCCTGCAGGTAACAAAGGCATGGATTAGTTTCCAAATGACTATGTGACAGAAAAGGCTTAATTTTCGCTATGCGGCGTAGATGAAAAAAGCAAGATCTAAAGATTCTGTTCACTTGAGCATCAAATCTGAGCTCTGCGTCCAGTTTTACCCCTAAGTTAGTGACCACCGCCTTCTGATGCGGTGCCAGAGTGGAAAAATCAAGCCCTTGAGCACCTCCTAGGGTCTGTGATTGGCGGGGTATGGGTAGGTTGTCTGGACCGGTTTTACAATCGGAACAGAAAAATTAGCGACCTGATCCTTCCCATTCCATGTCAGTTTGGGAAAAGGCCTATAAGTTGTCTGAGGCTTTTTGTCTCTGGTAGGGTCACCCACGGCAAATAGGTCCTAGGTGAGGGATCAGACAAAGAGCAGCCCAAAGACCCCTATGAAGAACAAGATAAATGGAAACAGTGTTCCTTCACCTGGACGCGGGTCACCGGGGCCCTCCTCTGGAACCAGGCCTAGAATTGGCCTGGCGGAGCCTAGTCGGGCATAGCCCGAAGAGGAGGCGTGGGTCCCCCTTACCATGAGCTGACCACTCGTGGGAGGGACCAAAGGGGTCAGGAGTTTTGTTTGTTGGGTGGTAGTCGAAGGCAGGGACCTTGGCGGTCTGATCCTCAGCTATAAAACTAGCTCTTGGTAAATGGAATGTCACTTCTCTGATGGGGAAAGAGCCAGAGCTGGTGTTTGAGAGGTTCCTGCTAGATATAGTTGGAATCACCTCAACGCATGGCTCTGGCTCTGGAACCAGTTTCCTTGAAAGGGGTTGTACTTTCTTCCACTATGGAGTTGCTCCCACTGAGAGGTACTGAGCAGCAGTGTTGCCAACTCAGCGACTTTGTCACTGTTCCTAACGGTTTTTTGACCCCCCTCAACGACTTTTCTTCCAAAATGCACCTAGCGACATTTCTCAGGACCTGTTGCTACTTTCTGTAGAACTTTCTTGAAGATATTCCCTACAGGTTAGCAACAAAGAAACCATTTGCACTCTGAACCGTTCTTCCGGGAGTAAGAAAAGAGAACGATAATCTGCACATGTGCACGAGGACTGACAAATCATAAACCATTATGGGCCGGGCCGATTCGCCGAAGGCAAAGGTACAGTTGCAGAGCTGGAGACCGCCGATTTACATCTGCTGCTGCTGCAGGCTCACACTTCTACTAGAGATGGTGCAGGCGTCAACCTGCCATCTCTGGTTCTGCAGCCGTCAGACACTTTGGCTTTTCCAGCATTTGGCAAATAAAGTCAACGGGAGTTTCAACTACCGTCCCGTTTACACACGCAGCTCTGTGGCTCATGTGAATTTCCTTCAGTGACACAGGGATGGTTATACCATGAGCACCCGCTCCCTTTTGCTCGGTGCATCGTTATTATCACGATGGAGAGAATACACAACAGAGAAGTTGAGAAACTATGACGTGTAACCCCCCCCCCCCCCCCCCAGCTTTTTAGGAAAATGTCTGTGAGAATGAGGAGAGCAGGTCTGAGTTATATCCTACAACAGAACTGTTTGTATCACCACACCATATCTGTCTTAATGTCACTTTATTGATAGTTTTGGAATTGATTGTACATATCAAAGCAATTTGGGCCATTTTAATCATAATAATTAATAACTTTAACACATAACAGTTTTTATTTTCCTCCCTTTTAGTCTATATATATTTATTTTTAGTCTACATATATATATATATATATATATATATATATATATATATATATATATATATATATATATATGTTTATGTATTTAGCAGACGCTTTGTCCAAAGCGACTTACAAGTGATAATCGGCATGTTGCCCTTGAGGCTACAATATCAACAACTTGACATCAACCATGGAGAGGAGGGAACAAAGGAGTGGACGGTAGAGGGGGGTGGGGGGGGGGTATATATTTGTTCTCCTCTTTGTAATCCAGAGAAAAAAAAAATCTGACCAGGCCAGCAGAGGTTTCAGAAGCATTATTGTCTTCCGTAATGCTAACGCAGAAAACCCAGAGCTATGGATTGCTTACAGTAGCTTTTGGACGGGACTTCCCAGTATGAAGCTCAGACAAAACTTTCATACTTTTTGCCAGATTTCCTTACAAATCCAGACGCGGAAATCCAATTTTCTTTTTTAGCTAAGCTTTTAATACTTTTAACACATGACCTGCAGTCACTCATAAATGTGCACTTAGTAATAGGTGCATTAAAAAAATCAAGTTAGCTTGCCCATTTGGCAAGACCACCTCTCCAAGCAGGTGTAATTTGCAAGACCATCTCTCCTGCTGAAGCAGGTTTTTTCTTTATGGAATAGAGATGGCAGTTTGAGACCCTGTATAGATTATAGGGACCATAACATTAGAACCCAGTTTGTCTGTAATGGTGGTTCTGGCCAGGATATGAGAACCTTTCAGAACTCACTGCTGGTTAGATGCTCGTAACTCGTACCGTTTGTGCAGAGTCTTGAAGTGTCGCTCCTAATTACCTTTCTTTGGTATGCAGATCAAACATACTGGCTTTTCATTTGAATAAACAAAAAAAAAACATTCTCTCACTCCGAATGAAAATGATATGTTTTTGTTTTTTCGCTGCCACCATGTTACCGCTCTCTTCACTCACTCAAAATAAATCACCTACGACACTTAAATTAGACACGCCCCAGTGCACGGACCGTGATGGACAACAAAAATGTGATAGACTAGCTGATGAGTTCAAGGGCATCATGTAAAGTTTTTTTTTATATTGGATTATATTGGTTATATTTTTATATTAAAACATTATTACCACTGTAGGATCTATCATTATATGTTGTCCATTTTGACCTTAGTTGTGAATATCGTGACGTTTGGCTCATGAAAAAAATACTATTCGTCCCATTTTTGTTCTTCATAAACTGTCAGGAGAAACCGCACGACACGACAAAGGTAAAATAACGCCAATCAACACTAACTCACTCGGCTCTATCCCCCCCCCCCCCCACACACACACACACACGTTGTGGGAGCAACCGACTGACCGATAGCTCCACAATCCGACAGAGGAGAGGTTATATTGAAGTTCATCAGGGACATCAACACAATTAACACGACCAAAACTGAAAAACTCTACACGCAACATTTAATCTGTTACTTATTAAAATCCCCTATTGATGTTTATTTTACAAATGAGATGTTTGATGAAATGTGCGTGAACAAGCCGTGGTAGATCAGTTATATATATATCCTGATGATTTGTCAGACAGGATGTGTGGGTGTATAAGAGTTTTTTGTTGACCAACCAAAAACACGCAAAGCGTCGCGGCTGCATATGGAGACGCATTAATGCTTGTGATTATTATATGTATTTATCTTTGGGTCAAAAATTTCACATGTTTTGTTGAGTTCGTTTTTCTTAGTCATAAATAAAGTTATTAATAATTTGGATCTTAGTTAATATTTTTATCTGCTGGTCAAACAAGTGGAACGGCCCATCTCAGCCTCCTAGCAGCCTATTCCTGAAGCTGCATCTGTGATCTACCTAAAACCATCCTGAGATCGAATGGTCGATCGCGATCGACTGGTTGGGCACACCTGGGCTAGACCAACCTGCAGAACTAAATCATTTTGCTTTGGCTCCTATCTGTCTAGATTTCTAGGCTAACACGCTCCATCAGTGATACTGAATGAATCACTGGACAATACCTTCATCTGTTCCGTCCATGATGGAGACGCTGTCATCTCTGGACAAGAATGGAGACTTGTGGAACAGCGTCCTCACCTGGACAACATCCATATCAAATTCAACACAAACAAAAAAATAAAAATTAAAATAAAAAATAAAAATGCAAACAACAACAAAAACAACCAGGTACAATTTTAGGACCGATGGTCCTCTGATCGCTGTTAGAGCGGTGTGTGTGTGTGTGTGTGTGGTTCTCCAGTCACTGTTAAGAGCGGTATTGGGGGTGGGGGTCCTCCGATCGCTGTTAGAGTGGTATTGGGAGTGGGGGTCTTCCGATCGCTGTTAGTGCGATATTGGAGGTGGGGGATGTACTCCAATCGCTGTTAGAGCGGTATTGGGGGTGGGGGTCCTCCGAGGGTCCTTCGACCACTGTTAAGAGTGGTATTGGGGGTGGGGGGTGTACTCCAATCGCTGTTGGAGCGCTATTGGGAGTTGGGGTCCTCCGATCGCTATTAGAGCGGTGTGAGGGATGGGCGTCCTCTGATCGCTGTTACAGTGGTTTGGGGTGGAGGGTGTCCTCCAATCGCTGTTAGAGCTGTAGTGGGGGTGGAGGGGTGCTTTCCGATCACTGTTAAAGCTGTATTTATTAGAACAAAAAGGAAAGCTGCAGGTGGACAGGTGTGTGTGTCTCACTCTGTCCAGCAGCTGGTCGGCCTTCTGTCCAGGCAGCAGCCTCAGGCCAGCCGTGGCTTTCAGAATGACAGGAGTTTTTATCCACATGGAGGGTGGAACACTTGACTTAGCCATATCCAGGAGCTCCACGAGTCCTGCAGAACACTGGAGACAAACAAACATGTAGAGACAACATGTCTCTGTTTCTGTGGACCTTTGAAACTATTGCTGTGATTTTTTTCAGTTTCTTCCCGTAAATGTTGGTTCTGAAGGCCCAGAAATGCCAACAAAAGCATCAGGCCGGGGACACACCGGCCGCGGAAGCGCCGCAAAGCGCCGAGAAGCGAATCGCTCACGAAATTCGGCCGCTGCTCGCCGCTCCTCAGTTCAGATCAGACGCGCCCCAGTCGAGGCGCGCCTCGGCTCAGCTGTAGTTTTTCTTTTAAAACACTTGGTGTCCTCAATTTCCTCTCTGCCTTTTCTCAGCTATTTTCCTCTATGTGTGTGCGCGCGTGCGTGCGTGCGTGCGTGTGTGTGTGTGTGTGTGTGTGTGTGTGTGTGTGTGTGTGTGAGAACCTATGGTATGAGTTGTTTCTGCCAGTTGAATCTCTTGGAACCCGCTCCAATTCTGCAGCTGTATCCTAGCAGTTTCTTCTGAAATGGGTACGTAAATAATCATGTTTTTCGAGGGTCGTACAGCTCCTTGTGTTTCTCAACTTCCATAATTAATTTAAAGTCATCCATCTTAACTGCTTGCCTCAGACTTTCTGCCTCTCTGTCATGTTTGCTCCGTGAAAAGACACCCAAAACCACACCCCCCTTCACGTGGTCACACACGCACACAAGTTCGATGTGTGTGTATGTGTGTGTGGTGTTCGTGTGGTTTTTCTGCAGTGTCTGATTACGAACACATTTGACTATTGCGGAATTTTATTTTGAAATGCTTTATTTTGTTAACTTTACCGGCCTGCCTCTTATGTCTAGGTTTGACTTCCTGCCAGAATTGACGCGATTCACCCGCGGCTCGCGAAAAAAATAGAGCCGACGCCGAAATGATCGCTGCACGGCGCGGGCTGGGGCGCCGGCGCGCGCCGGCGCGAGGCGATTCGCGGCGCTTCGGCGGCCCATGTAGTCTATAGAATAGCTCAACAAGGGCGCCGAATGAAGGCGGCCCCATTTTCGCGGCGCTTCGCGGCGCTTCCGCGGCCGGTGTGTCCCCGGCGTCAGGATGAAAATTGTATATCAGATTACATCCAGGACATCATAAGATGCCCTGTTTCTTGACAGCCTCTTCAAAGGGTGTCCCTCCAAATTTCAGTTTAAAAGCTCCTTTTTATAACAATAAAAATAGTAGTTGTTGCACACCACTCATTACCTTTTGTGGGTCGTCAGCATATGCCGACAGTCCAGGTTTGATGGCTCTGAATGTCTCGTGGTCCAGTTTAGGAGGTTCTGTGGGAAAAAAGTCTCAGTATGATAAAGGTGATCAATATCATCACAAAAGGTGTGGAACACTAATTTAATCACTTTGTTTACAGTGGTGTCTAGAAAAAAAATAGATGTCTTGTAAGTCATGGGTGGGGGGCAGAAGCTTCAGTTTCAGCATGGAGAATTCCGCTGGAGGAGAAAGTATCTTCCTGATATCTGGACATCTCTCCTCTGGTTGGCTAACAGCAACATGACTCTACCACTGTTTGCTCTGCAAGGTTGATGATTTATCTCCACAAATAACACAAGCCTGGAGGAGTTCTGCTGTGTGGTGGAGTTGCTAATGCTAACAGTTAGCTTCTACTAGCTTAGACATTCTCTGCTGTTTGCTGGACGCTAAACCAACAACAGCCTTCCCTATCTTGAGTCAAGATGGATGAGTCCATGAATTAAGAAACACTCTGAGGTTGCATGTAGACTGACCAACATCTGAATTGATCCAGGTCGATCATATTGAAATAAGCTGGGAGGCTTTATCCTAGTTCATATGTGCATTAGAAAACCGGCCTCTCAAATAAAGTATTGTATATATAAGAATAGCGAGGACATTAAAGGAAACGTGACAGCACAATTAAAATACACAGATTATATTTTGATTATAAAGAAAGCTAAAGGGTGAGCAGTTCCAGTGCAGAGCATGCAGTATAAGACGAGTATGCGGCTCGTCCCTAGTCCTCTGTGTCTAAAATTTGCCTAAAATGTGTTATTTTGTAATTATGTTGTTTATTTGTTTACTGAGAACCTTCACAGACTTTATTTACATTTTTCCCGTTTAGTCTTTAAAATACCAATATTTGCCATAACTCCTTATGTTTTGTCTGTTTGATGTCATCATTTTAACAATATTAGATCAGATGAAACTCAGTACTCAAGTAGCCTTCTAATCAGATACTTTTTTTTACCCTTACTTGATGTCTGTGAAGGTTCTCAGTCATCCAGGTCATTGTAGTCTAATGAGCTTTGAAAGAAAAGCGTCTGGACTTCTTTGAGTTGCTTCAAGCAACTCAAAGAAGTCCAGACGCTTTTCTTTCAAAGCTCATTAGACTACCCTTACTTGAGTAATAAACCCTATATCAGGAAAATATTGTCCTCGGTTTGTGTCCTTCCAGTGAGCTTTGCAGATATGGGAAAATGTCATCAGGCAGTAATCATTGTTAAATTCATAATTATTCTCGGAGACAGACCAACTCTTATCTGCCCCTGGGAGCCCCGTAACGCATAGCGTCATTTCAACATGGGGGTTTCCGCGACACGGTTTATATGCAGGTAGTGGCGCTGCGGCTGCCATGTGCAGCAGTACTGGGATCAGACTTAATAGGGCGTGTATGGGGAGCATGAGTGGGTGTTCGGCGTGCATTTTTGTAAGTCTTTGGTTTATGTGTATGTGTGAGCATGAGGGAGGGAGTGTGTGACTGTGTTTGTGTATGACTGTACATGTCAGGTGGGGCCTTTGACTCCTCCCTTCTCCTGGGACTTCTTTTGATGATATAGATCTTCGTCTCCCCTCTCCCTGCCACACCTGGTGTGGAGTGCGGTGCTTTGGTCTGCCTGGGTCGTGGCTCCCGGGTCAGAGAGTTTAAGATTTTTGGCGTCTGCCTTACCAATCCCGGTGGCTGCCTGGTGGGGTCTGGGTCCCGGCTCTGCTGTAAAACATTCAAACTATAGTGATCCTGTTTATCTTTATTATAGTCGGTTTATTATTCTGCTTCCGTACGTTTTTGGCATTCAACTACTTCCACAATTCTTCAACTATTTACACAATTTTGGTATCAAAACGTTCAGCTCGTTCAGCTTATGCCGGCAATGACTTTTGGTATTAAAATATTTTATACTTTTTGAGATATTCAGCTTTTTCAGCGATTTTTGGTCCTATTGAAATGAGTGGGAATCAAGTTTCACCAAACTCACAAGACTTTCAGCTATTACTGGTTAAAAAAAATCTTTTTGATATCTATTACAGTTTTTCTAAAATCACAGGTAGAAGTTGAGATACGGCTTGAGATTTTCAGAAAAAAATCACAAAAATTATAATGGGCAGAGATAGGAGCAATGACCCTCCTTTGCTCCATTTCTGGCAATGTCCTGAGAAAACCGTAAGTCACATTGAAATAAGACGCATGCTGGCTTGCAGCTAACGGATACCTTCGTTTTGAGCTATAAATAATGAATGTCCTCCAAACATTGTGGTCGTACGGTTCATTTCTTTGAGAATATTTAAATTTAAAAAAATGTCTCTCACCACTCTAAACTGAAAATTCCACACTCTAACTTTTGACCTTCACATTTTCTGGAAACAAATTATACCTCAAAAAGTAGGAATTTTTGTCAGCTTTTCAGAATGGGTTTCATTTTGTCCTTAAGTGTTACGGTTCTTTCTCTACACTTCACAAAGATGACCATCAAAGCCTTCTGCTGCTCACACATTTTGAATTTTTCAAATCGGTGCAGTACTTTTCGAATGGTGATGAGAAGTTTGACAGGTCCAATTTCACTTCTGAAGGACAGATTTAAAGGCTTCTCTCATTAACTGGAGTACAGCTGCAGGCCTCCTACAGCCCAGGGAAAAGGCGGGAAAACAGTGCTGCTCTCTGATTGGTTGAGAGTGTTCAACCATTTTCTGTCCAAGCAGGCTAGAGCACCCACACATATGATACATCAAATCGACCAGCTTGGTCTCAGGAATCTTGTATTCAATTTGAATTGCGTTATCGGTTACCATGGTAACACAAGTGCATAAGAATATCCCCAAACAAGTCTCACTGAAATGAATGTGAAAAGCCTAATATTGAGCCTATAACATACTGCTGTTTCTTATCTTTCTGAGCTCTATACACTTAAAACTAGCAGCATAACTGACATTTTAACATTAGTCAGAAGGCAGGAACCTCCCCCTTCTCCTTCGCTGCTCTCTCATTGGCTGAGAGTTTTCAATTGTCTTCTACCTAAAAGGAAATATGCACCCACTCATATGATACATCAATTCAACCTGCTTGGTCCCAGGAGTCTTGTATTAACTTGATATTGTGTTCTGCGTTACCATGGCAATGTGCTTAGCAACAACATTTAACAACATTTTAGACACAACTGTATCAACATACTTTAATATAGAAATGTTATTCAAAGTTTAAAAGAGTCATGTGACATTGTACATGGCTTTATTAAAGCAGACTCCTGTCATCTGTTACCATGGCAACACAAGGAACTACAAATCACTTTAAGCGCTAAAGTGCCTCGTGATTTTTATCGTGAGAGGTGCTATAGAAATGATATTTTCTTCTTCTTCTTAACCAAGTCTCACAGGAATGAATATAAAAAGCTGAATATTAAGGCAATAACCTGTTTTTGATCTTTTTGAACTATTTGTACTTAAAACTAGAAACAAGTTAAATTTGATTGACCGTCAGAAGGTGGGAAAGTGCCCCGCTCCCTCCCAGCTTCCTGATTGGTTGAGAGAGGTCAATCATCTTCTGGCTAAAAGGACTTACACACCCACACATGTGATACATCAAATTGATCGGCTTAGCCAAAGGAATCCATCCAACCACATATAAATCCATACATCTTCTATCCATCCATCCATTCATCATCAAACCATCTAACATCCATCCAACAATCCATCCGTCATTTCATTCATCAAGCCATTCATCCATCCCAAATTAAGTCTGAACACATGTTAGTCTATCAGTTTCAGATATCAGCAAATGTTTCTAAATTCACAGTTCAGCCATTGTAAAAATGTACCCATTAAACTATTCTCATTCAAATGCCAGCTGTTTAACATTTCAAATTTCGAGCTTTTAATCAATGTTCAAAGATTAAAGTTTTCTGCTGTTTAGCATTTTTTGTCCATTCTTCACCTATATTCTGTGCTTTATTACACTTGTTGGTGATTTTTTATTCTAAATCTTTAAATACATTAAGCTCATTTTGGCAGCTTAGCTTAGTTTCAGCTTCACTTCAGCTCTTCAGGAATCAGTTTCTGAATTCAGCATATGCTGCTAATTTCACAGTTCAGCTAAATGTAAAAATTAAACTGTTAAACTAGTTCTACTGAAATAACAGGTGTTTAGAGAATTTAGCTGTCCAGCTTTTTAAACAATGTTCACAGATTTCAGTTTTATGCTGTTTAGGATTAGTATTCTTGATTCTTCACTTACTTTGTGTGCTTTATTTGCTTGTTCGTGCTTTTTGCTTTCACTCAGCTCATTTGCCAGTTTAGCTTAGTTTCAGCTTCACTTCAGCTATTCAACAACTTCAGCAATTAGTTAACAAATTTAGCATGAGCTGCTAAGTTCAGAGTTCAGCCAAATGTAAAGATTAAACTGTTACACTTGTCCAACTGAAATAACAGGTGTTTAGAAACTTTAGCTGTCCAGATTTTTTACAATGTTCACAGATTTCAGTTTTTTGCTTTTTAGGATTATTTTTCTCCATTCTTCACTTACTTTTTGTGCTTTATTTGCTTGTTAGTGATTTTTGCTTCTACATCTTTCAACACATTCAGCTCTTTTTGACAGTTTTGCATACTTTCAGCTTCAGTTCAGCTTTTAAGCTGATTCAGCTAACAGTTTAAGCTATCCAGCATTCAAACAGCATTTCTGCAAGAAATGCAATTTATCTAGTTTAAGTTATTTAGAAGAAAGATAAGTCCAGAATGGACATTGTGTAAATATTTGGTTGCGGTATAGTTATCCCGGTGACACAATAAATACTACTTATACCATCAGCTTGCCATATAAAACCAGTAAGCACAACAATTAGCAGGGTCCTAGTCATCTAACATCTTCAGAAAAAGTCTAAATATTGGACATCCCTCTCAGAACCTCCTAGACTCCAGAAGGGGATCTAACAGTGTCTGTCGGGTGTGTGAAAGTGCATTAAATAAAGTGACTTGACTTCTAATGAGCTAAAGCAGAAGATAGGTGTAGGAGACTATTTTCATGTTCAGCCTGCATGAAACACTCAGAGTGACCCATTAGAATCAGAAATATGAAATGGGTTTTCAGTGTTCCACACCTTTAATGAGCCAGAGACCATGGTGTGGGAAAACCCGAGTGGACTCTGCCGTGCTGTGACCCTGGACCTATTCCTCCTCGTGGGTCTAACAGGTGCTGCCATCAGCCCATTAGCCAAAGACGCCAAAACAGCACTCAGCCCAGCAGTCCGATTAGAGCCTAAATACCATAATGAAGGCATTTGGCCGAGCTCGGCAGGAAACTTCTCTAAGCCCAATAAACCAAAAAGCTCTGAATGGTTCTAATGAATCTGTCCATCTAAACCACCAGCAGTAGGACTTATGGGCTGAAAGCTGCTCACACACACACGCACGCACGCACACACACAGTAATTAATGTTTCACATCAACATCTGAGGCTTCTAATCTGACGTACACATAAAAGTGACAGGATCCATTCACTTCTGTTTATTTCTGAATGTTTGTTTTAGTCTGACATCAACAGATGTTGTTTACATTTGAAAGTGTCTGAAGATGTCCTCCATACCTTTGTTACCCAGCTGAAACCTGAAGACGTGGACGCGGGTCCCGGTGCTCCCCGCGTCAAACATGACGCCGTACTGAAAGCTGTCTCCGTCAGCAGAGCTGGACCCATCCGGTTTGGTTCTGTGTGCCCGGGGCTGAGGGTGGGGAGGGGGTCTGTGTGAGTGGGGACTGTGGGTGGAGTAGTGATGCTTCACAAACACGAGGTAGACCATCACGCAGCCCCCCAGGAGGAAGAGTCCGGCCAGCCTGCACCTCCTCATCACTGCTCATTCTGTGTGGAGCTGCAGGAGGAAAGACCTCAGAGATCAGCTACAACAGAACTTCTGATCCGGTCCAGAACGCCTGACCCGGTCCAGGATGCCTGACCTGGTTAAGAACACGTGATCAGGTCCAGAACGCCTGACCCGGTCCAGGATGCCTGACCCGGTCCAGAACGCCTGACCTGGTTCAGAACGCCTGACCTGGTAGGAAGTTCTCCAGAAGTTCCAGAGGTCTGACTCTCCAGAACCAAAACAGAAAGTTGTGTTTTCTTCAGAACCAGAACCAGGTACAACAAAGACCTGATCCAGAATCCAGGGGGTTCCGGGTCTGTCAGACCCGTTCTGGTCTCTTCAGAAGGAACAGGTGACACATTCTGTCCCTCTCATAACTTTGGCGCGAGGACGGAGAGAACCAAAACAGAAAGTTGTGTTTTCTTCAGAACCAGAACCAGGTACAACAAAAACCTGATCTAGAATCCAGGGGGTTCCGGGTCTGTCAAACCCGTTCTGGTCTCTTCAGAAGGAACAGGTGACACATTCTGTCCCTCTCATAATTTTGGCGCGAGGACGGAGAGAACCAAACTAAAGATGACGTAATGAATGATACCTGGAGGGTTCTAGTTCAACCAGGTGAACTTTCAGACACAGCCCAGCTTCAGTTGGTCCACAAAGGTTTCCTACCTGAGCAGGTAAAGTTCCGATCGGGATGTTTCTCCGGCTGCGGCGTTCTGTCTGACCTCAGTGTTCACGTTGTCTCCAGTACTAGACCTTCGGTAGAACCGGTCGGACCGGACCAGTTTGTTTGGAGTAAAGTTTGCTGACAGCTCATTTAAAATCATAGAAGAACCTGAACGTTCTTCCGGTAAACAAACAAAAAACCGCTAATTTACCAATCCGAGCTCGCTCCGGTGTTGTCAGCGGCGCGAGCTGATGACGTCAGGGCGCACGACAATGCATTAAAAACTAGATTTATTATAGAGGGATTTGGAAAATGAACTGTTCATATCTAATCTTATCATATTGCTGACCAAGTTTTACATCCATAAATGTAAAGTGTTAAAAATAAGACCTTCCTTTTGTGTCTTGAAAAAAGAGCTTAAGCTTTATTTGAAAACAATCTCTACCTCGAACAATAACAAAGCCATTAAGACACTAAGTCTCTGCTCGAAATTTCAAATCTTTCCATAATTCATACTCTGTTGAATGTCTCGCATTGTTTCCTGTTTCGATCATCATTCTCACATGTTTCATAATTTGTATGCAGTAACCCCTGGCGTTGAATCTGTTGGTATGTTTTTGTTATGTTTATACTGTTTCCATGTAATTCATAGTGGATACTGAGTCATTTGTATATTGAATGTATTGTTAACGAACCAATATCCTAAATTAAAAAAACAAAACAAAAAAAACTAGATTTATTATAGGAAGGTAATGTGGTTCCGGTAAAAGCAGCGTTCTGACCCTGGGCAGGGGTTGGTGATAGGGTCGAGCATCGGTGTTACACCGAGCCAGCACATTTGGGGTCTCAGGAGGACGTGTTTAATGCTGTTGAGTCTGTACGCCTCAAGTTAGCAGAAAAGATGAAGGGGTATGGAGGTACATTTGGTGCAATAACATTTGTATTTTTGACCCTGGGAACTTGAAGTCATCATGGAGAAAATTTCAGAAAAATCCTATTTTTATACATGTACAAAAAAACAGCTACACCTATTCAAAATCTTGGTTATGAGTATACAAAATGCATTCTTTGAGTCACACATAAAAAAAATCTTACAGTTCTGCCCAGTTGATCCAAAATATCTGGTGCAAAAACATTTGTGTCGTGACTCGACGGAGCTTGAATTCACAGTGAAAACTCCAGAAAAAAATCAATCTTTCACAGGTTTAAAACAACAGCTTCACCTATTCAAAGTCTTTATTCCAAGTACACAAATTTTATTTGAGTCAGACATAAAAAAATCGTACAGTGGCAGTTTTGCCCCAATTGTATGAAAAAAATAACTTGTGCCTTTTTCACTGTTACTCACAAACACAAAATTACTGTCACACTTCACACATTCATCATTACAGGTACACAAATTTGTTACTGTAAATTACAAAATATGGAATTCCTGCTTCAATAATTTTGCTCCACTTAGTCCAGCACATCAGGAGAATAACCCTTTCAAACACTTGTAGTAACATTTATCTTCCTATAGACATATGGTTTTGTCACTTTCCTCCTTACCACAAACACAAATGAGTGAATGCAACTACGCAAAACTGCTGATGTGAGTCATAAATGCTGCTATTTGTGGCGAGTGCAAGGCTGCCTACTGAGGACCACTGGGCTAGAGGTTGTCCCAAAGGGTAGGACTTGCCACTTGAGGTCTTTGGAGGCTCATCTACTTTCAGATCTCGCCACAAGAATCTCAGTAAGGGATGATCATTAGGTAGGAGACAGACCTGATGAAACGTTCCCTTAATGTCTCCACTCACAGCTATTGGATGCTCTCGGAATCTCACCAAGATTCCCAAAAAAGAAGCTCCAAGTGTTAGACCAGACAGAAGAAACTGGTTCAGGGATTGTCCAATGTACTTGTGGGATCAGTTGAAAACAATGTGATTCTTGTCACTATTGGACACTCCTATAGAGAAACCTTACATATAAAAGCGCAAGTACGCACCAAGCCCCCTCAACGGAGCTCTAAAATTGAGTCAAACCCGGAAGTACCACAAATTGCAGTTCCACCCTCATCCGCTGGGGGCTGGTGTCAGAAGCGAGCAAATCCTCATTGACTCCCATGTTAAAAATACCAATTTCACAGCAGAAATAAACATGTTTACAGCCTGGTACCAGAACATGTTTTTTGTTTAAATTATCTAGTTTACACTCATGACGACTCTGATGGGGGTGAATTTTTTTCTCACTCTTCTGTTTAAGTGTATTAAAAGCCTAAAATTCTGTATAATTAATGAGCATCAGACCCACTTGACCACAGAGCTAGCTCCGTGGAAAGGCCTCAGTAGAGCCTCGGTCTGGCTTGAAAACTGCTCCGGCATTTTGAGTCTGTGTTTGTGTATTCTTTTTTGTGCAACTGTTGGACAAAATGACTTGCTGTGGCATTAATTGCACTAATAGAGAGTCCAAGGAGTCTCCACTTGATTTTTTTCGGTAAGTAAAATTATATTTATGTATTTTAGGTCACTGCCGAGCTGAGCTTAGATTTTAACATGTACTGTTTAACCATGAAATTTAAATGTAATAGGGTAAAACCCAGTGCATTTAACATAATGCTGCACTTTAGAAAATGGGTTGAAATATAAAATGTTGGTGGAGCTGGGTTCCAACTATCGGCTTGTGGAGCTCTCGGGAGACCGATGTTTTCCACCCGTTTCTCCCCTGGCTTCGCAGCTTCTGTTTGATGCGCCGGGCTGCCGGCTGGGTCTTCCGGCAGCTCGGCGCATCTCTGTCTGATCGTGGCTTCTGTTTGATGCGCCGGGCTGCCGGCTTGTGGAGCTCTGGGATGGAAACCTTTCCACCCGGTTCTCCCCAGCGGCAGCTCTGCGTATCTCAGATTGCAGTGGTGCTTGTCTGCTGTGTGGCTGCCGGCTTGTGGAGGTCTCGGAGACCTCTGTGTTCCACCCAGTTTTACCCAGCGGTCAGCCCGGCGTATCTCTGACTCAGAAGCTCTGGTGTTGTGCACAGTTAATGTTGGGTATTTTTATAATTGTACCTTTTTGAGGCCTAAAAGCTGCCCAATTTGTGTTATTAACACTTCATGAATCTCTGTGTTTGCCAACTGTGGCTGTTCATGAAAGGTTGAGCAGAGAAGCTCGTCTGCAGTCAAGGATGTTGATTCCAACCAAACCTCTGTACCTCTGTAACCTGAGAAGGCCCCGCCTTCTCCTCCATCCTTTGCTGAATAAAGCCCCTGGGAAACTGAGGAGACTTGGGAGTGACGTGGGGAAGCCTCGGAGGAGGTTCCTCTGCGTTAACTCTCCATATTTTGGGGACTCAGGGTAAAATGCCACCCTTGTTGTCATGAATGTTTATTTCAGTTTCCAGGGTTATGGAGATTAAATATTACCCAACATTTTGGTGGAGAATGCGGGTAGGCAGAGCTGGTGAGCTGAAGGCTTTCCCCAGGGACAGAGGGGGGCTGGTTAGCTCCATGGAGGGGTTTCTGTGCCCAGCTCTCGCATGACGATTCATGGACATTACGAATAATCAATCTACTCTCTCTCTCTGTGTGTCGTCCTTTAAGGTAATATGGGATAAATGAAAAATTACCTATCAGTTAACTCCGGTTGTAGCTAGGTTGCTACCTCCGTTAGCTTAGCTCCCACCTCCGCATTAGCTTTGGGTTAGCTTCAGGTTAGCTTGTAGCTAGTTCGACCGGGTGTCGTCAGTTGATCCCAACCTTACAGCCCCACCCTCAGCTCCACCTCTCTTCCCTTTTATGGAATTGTCTGGGCTTGACAGAACCTGTGACACGGTCAAAATGGCGGTGGTGGCCACCTCCCATTTGGCCTCAAAAAAGTGATATTGGAGTCTATGGAAAGGCGATGTCCATAATATTAATGTCGATGGTACGCACACAGGTGCTCACATGGTTCTCTCATGAGTATGGACTTGGGCATTTTCAACCCGTCTTAAGGCTGTGGTTGGCACTAAATGCACTGTGATTTATTATTGTGTGATTGTTCAGTAAAACAATGTTGATTTTATATTTCCTCATCAGGATGACGCCGTGAAAGCTTGCTCTTGTTGTATTGTTGTGTGTTGTTTTTCTCTTTCTGCAGGTCTAGAAGCAGACTCTTGCTCATCATTGATGTTAATTTTAACTAGGGATGAGCCATTTCAGACGAGTATCCGGTACGCATAAAGCATTTTTGACGAGTATGAGCACGAAACGAGTAAAACTCGTAGATATCTGTAATCGTGCTGAAGGAAAATCCTCACTGGGTAACTGACTGTCTTCACGGTCTGTGACTGGCCAGTCAAATAGAGCGCCCGCCCCTCCCTACACACAAAACTCTGCACTGGGAGCTCTGTCCGCATTCGGTTCATCCACGCACACACACAGACAGCACGGATCTCTCTGTGCTTGCTTCACTGTTGCTCACTTTTCTTCAGTACTCCCTAGGTTTTCTTCAGTTCACCTCTTTTTAAAGTTACTTTAAATTTATTTAAAGTTACTTTTTCGTAACGTACGTGGTGCATTTGACAAGACAGAGCTGAAAATGGCTCGTGCTGCGTCAGTCACTGCCTCCGCTCCGGTCATGTTTTTTTTCCTCTCTCTCTCCTCTTACTCAGGATCCACTCCCTCTTTTCTATTCACTCTCTCTCTCTTTCTTTACATTTTTAATCACAATTGTCTATTTTTTGCTCATTTTAAATATATTTGAATAATTTTCTAAATTCTTTCTTCAATTTTACATGTTTTGTTTTTGTGAAGAGCCTTACAGTTGCTCTTCAGTTTCCCAGTAAATCAGAAGGTTTTATGGCCATATGTGTGAGAATCACAACATTAGGAAGTTGCTGCGGTACTTGGTGCAAAAAAGGAAGATAAAAATGAGAGATAAGAACAAATAGGAAGTAAGAATATAATCATGATAAAATAATAATATAGAGTGGTGATATTTAGAGAAATGGCTGCTATATACAAGACAGTGTAGTCAGAGCAAATCAG